AGTATTGTGTAGTACTGTTTGGAAAATTCAACCAAAACAAGGAATTATAATTACTGAAGAACTAATAAAAATGCAAATATCTCAAGGAAGTCCAAAAGATACATTGAAATTCCTTTTCTAGAATCAAGAGATGTTATAATTGTTTTTCTAGAGAGGTTTCAAGCTATAGAGCTAAAAAATGTTTCTTTTTTTTAGAACTTTTCCATTTAGAAGTCGTTAAATGCTAAGCCAGAATTTTATATCAAGTGACATACGGTTCGCAAGTTGGAGAAAAGAGACACCAAATATTATTTATCAAAAGTTGCATGTTGAAGAGGAAGATGCTGATCTTCATGGAGATTTGATAACTGGATAAAAGACATTTGTTACTAAACGAATATTAAGTTACTCGAAATGTATAATACCAATGAAACTGAACTGCATTAGAAAACACAGCAGGAACACACTAATATTTAAAAGTGAAACAGCAGATGGTTTAAGAAGCTGAAGGAATAAGTTACCATTTTAATAATGTGCAGTATTAAGAAGACAGCACTGGTTATTGACAAAAATCAGAAAACATCGATATCTGAAGGGAGTCAAGAATTTACTTACCATAATAACAAGAAGTCATGCATGACTATTTTAACTGATTTTCTTTTTTAAATGGGGCATCAAACTAAATAATGAAAATACAGCTTTACTAATCAGAAAACTGTGCAGTGCACACAACTGTTTCTAAAACAACATTGTGTGTCAACATTGAATACAATTTCTAACATTCAACCTCATTTCAGAGAAGATGTCCAGTAAATAATAAAGAGAATTGAATTTTGTGAAAATGCAAGCACTTCGAAAGAAATGAAAGTAAGTCAATATATCTGCTACAGGCAAGTATATTATAATCAATACAGAGTGTTAATCTCTTAAAATCATTTAAAAACTGTTTTCAAAGATGTGACTTTTACACAGAAGAAACCTCAGAGGAATTGCAAACTGCAGCTAATGTTCCAGATAAAACAAATGCTGTTAGAATAGTCATTTGTAACAGACACAATTTCATCAGGAATGTAATTATGAAAATATTTTTATTAACACTCAAAAAATGAATTTCAAAATTGCATAATAAATAAATTTTTGTATTATTTTATGAATTAATTGTTAGTTATTATTTAACTTGAAATTATTTAATCTGAATTATTAGTTATTATTTAACTTGAAAATTTTAAATCCAATATCACCGTTTGCAATACACAAATGACCGTCTATTAACACCTTAACTGCCCCAGATGCGCAGCCGATGCGTTAACTTTGCGAATAATTTTAGGTGTAGCAGCGCAAAGCAAATGATAGCAGTTTGGAAGGACGTATATATATGCCTGGGGCAGTTAACGCATCGGCTGAGCAAGGCGTATATATACGCCCGCGGCAGTTAAGGGGTTAAACACGGCCGCATAATAAACTCAAATATGTTTGGGGCAGAAGTGATTTGATTAAGCAGTGGGTACTGTGTAGTTATAAATCTAAATAATAACATTTTATATATATAATAAAATAATCAAAATTTACATTATATGTAAAAATTTTAATAATTTGTATATTAACAGAATTCTCTGAATTATAAAATTTTAGAAAAAATAAAACATTTATTTTTAGTGCAAAAATCAAAATAGCTCAGCTGCTTTCAAACTCACAATCTGATGGTAAAATTAAATTTAATGTTTTAACAAATGTGCCAAAGAAGTAAAAGTACAAATCAAGTTAGCTAAACATAGTCTAAAAGTTGAAAAATCACTAGTAATAGAAAATTGAAAATACATTCAAATGCAAGCAGACCACAAATCAAGTTTTTCTTGTTTGTCAGCTTTCTTGAATTACAATAATATAGTACATAATGCCTTTTAAAAAGAAAAATACGCTATCAAATTCAGTTAACACTAACAAATGAGTTAAAAAAAATACATTAAGCCTTACGATTTTCAGGTACAATTCTGTTCAGTTAAAAATGCACCAACAACCATGCCAAATTGGCTAGAGAAATTAATGTTTAAAATAACATAGCTCGAGAATTCTAGTTTTCGCTTGAAATATCGTTGCTCGTTATTTTGAATATTTTTTCGTGGCTCAAGATTTCTGGTTTTTGTTTGAAATATTGTTACTGGTTATTTTTTTTGTCAAATGAACTGTTTTATTTTCCATGCCCTGGGATGTTCTGCAATTCCGTCGTATGTGGCCTTCAGTACCACATTTCCAACACTTTAGAGTCAGTTTGTTCTTACTCCTACTCCGTACCAAAGCATTGACTTGTCTGGATAAATTATCCAAACGAGCCATCAATGGATCCACTCCAATTATGGAACTCTAATGGAATGCAATCCACAACGCAGAGAAAGCTAATCCGATCAACAATAATAACAGCAGCTAACTAAACAACAACTGAGATCAGATGTTCTCTGTCTGGCTTTTCATAATTTTTGTATTCTTTTGAACTCTATTATTATTTTATAATTTAATACTTAGCGAAAATTGGTGGCAAAAAAAAAGTGGCACATTTTTAACTGATGCCGCTGTAATGAAACAGTACCCAATAACAAATCACTTGTAGTAATGTATAGAAAGTATTCTATCATTTATAAAGAAATAAATCAGAAATTTATTATTCAAAATAAACACCCCATCATAAATTTTCTTAAAATAATAACCTAAACTCCAAGCAATTCATGCCATATATTTTTTAGTAAGCAAAACGCTAATTTAGTAGCTAAAACAGCTTTTCGGCTGCATGATTTCCATATGCAGTCACCAAATAAATTTCCACATCTTTGTAGCCCATCATGGCCAATGAGCATGGCTCCTGCCTATTTATTTGGAGATATGTTTCCTTGGTACTATTCAGTTTTGAGGGCCGTAAAAAAATTGCCAAACTATTGTTGATGCCAGTGCTGCCAAAAATAAATGCAGCAACCCTAATGCAAGAAAGCAAGTATAATAGTAAATAACTATTTAAGATTGATGTTTTAATTTAGATGAAATGGTTAATTTCATATAATACTTTTTTATTATTATAATTTATATAAAAAGGCTAAACATGACTGAATAGAAGCATAAGAGTAAATAACTATTTCAGATCATTATTAAAATTTATATAAAAATTGCTAAACATACTAATTCTCTATAATGAATGATGCTTTTTCTTTGAAAAAATTCTCGGTAAAGTGCAGAATCACCCACTTATTTTTTTGCTGCTTTTTACAAGGGTAAAAACAATTGGATTTTTGTCAATTTTTTTTGACTTTTTAAGTGAAAATAGGTCGATGTGTAGATAAAGTCAAGGGTGTGCGCAGTGCTATTTATGAGCAATTCTGGAAATTTTTTTTTAAGTAGGTCGATGTGTACATGGATACCGAGTATGTGCAATTCTTAAAAACGCATCAAGCAGTGGGTGATTCTGCACTTTACCCAAAATTCTATTGCAGACTTTTCGTCATGGGCAATTCCCAAATTGTTAAAATCCTTAGCATATCAAAAAAAGGATTTAAAAATTTTGCCGTATTTGGTGCTTTTGCGCATACATTTTCGCTGCAATTTTTTTATGGTCCTCAAAACGGAACAGTACTGTTTCCTTTATATTATTTCACAGCCTACTGGTAGGCACTTTGAGAATCTTTGGTGGGCTTTTTTTTTTTTTTTTTTTTTTTTTTTTTTTTGTAAATAATTATGCCAGAACACACAGAACAGCTGCTAAAATGTGATGGTATGACTCGAGTCAGCATGCTTTCCCTGGTTTAAACCCTACGGAACATGTGAGAACAATTTGGGAAGAGAAATAAAGCTCTTTAACAGAAGATCAGTCTTACCTGAAGAACTACTACATCATCTGGCACTGAGAATGAAAGTGCTATGCAACTGTTGTACTTAAGGGAAGTCATATTCTTTACTAAGCAACTTATGTTTGTTGCTCTCTCTCTTGGGTGAATAATCATTTATACCAATGCAATTCTTTCTAAAGTTTTCTGTTTGATTCTTTACTGCATGCATCTATTTATTTTGAGCTTCAATGGACTGAGACAAAGAGTTTTAGTATGCATTTTTTTTTAAATGTTAAATTTATTTTCAATTATGAAAAAATTCAGTTGAAAATGTTGAACATTAATCTCTTTGACGCATAGGTGAAAGAGATTACTGTAGAACTATTTCATTAAAATGACCAAATATCTCATTTTAAATGTATGCTTTGGAAACTGAATTTAATTTAACATAAAAAAATAAAGAGGCATGCTATCTTCTCAGTTCAAAGAAACTAAAAAATAAACACATAGTTAGAAAAATAAATAAGTTGATAAAAAAATCTGAACACTGGTAGTTCGGTCTGAGGTTCGAATCCCACGAACGGGCTGGCTGCATGGGTGTTTTCATGGTTTTCCCCATGTGTAACGTGTATACGAGCCAGTTTCCCTTAGAAAGTCCTCCACGAAGGCATCCATCCCCTTAGGCAGATAGCCCTCGAGGCTTTGCCGTAATTAAATAACTTAACCTAACCTAACCTTAAAATAAAATAAATAATAATAATAATAAAAAAAAAAAACCCTTATAATCATCTAAAAGCTATGCAGTATTCATATACATTTTCAGTTTTGCTGGTTATGTGTCTGTCAGGATATCTGTCACTTTTGACATTTTCTTTGTCATCTTGGAAACATTTTAATTACTTGTAAACTCTATGTACTTTTTGCAACTTCATGCATGTTGTTGTGAAGGCATTAAACTCTTGACAGAATTCAATATAAATTCTCTGCCACTGTGAATGTGAAGACATTTCATATGCTCTTCAAAGAGCAAAGCAATCACCATATTAAAAGTGGTGGTACACATGTGCATTATCCAATGTCTACCTGTGCCAAGCAGTTTTCTTCCGAGTGTTTTCATTCTGAACAAGCTGATTAAGTCTCAATATTTTTTAATCACGTCTTATATAATACTTACGATTCTATAAATCTTAAACTCAGCACACAATTTTATTTCCATATACTTTATTTAATGGGCCAGTTTTAGCATTATTCTGGATGATCTACTTAATGTAACCAAATCTCAAGTACATATTCTATACAGTTGAGAAATAGTTTAATCTCAGTGTGAGCAATTATTATCCAATAAAGCATTTAAGATAAATAATTTATTTTACATAATATACAACAGTAATTAAAGAACTGAAACATTCTTTAAGAACAATTTCATATAAATGCTGAGAATAAAATATTCTTGGAAAGTTCATTCCACAAACTTTACTGTCCTTCTGATATAAAATAATAATCTTATAACATGGTTTAAAATCTTACATATCAGCTCGAATATACATCAATTTGTGATATTTAAAAAGTAGAGCTTCAAAATTTCACTCTTCGTGGAAATCTGATGAAATTGCAAATTTGTAGCCAAAATTTATCCATTCCAGAATTCCTAAAAAATAGAATGTTATTCATAGTAAGTAAAATCATATGTGGCATGCCTAATTTAAAGAATAAATCAATTTCAAATGCAAATCAGCAAGCAGATACATAACAATTGCCATTTCACAGTTTATTAGACACTGCCCTAACTTCACCACAATTATTTAACTTCTTCTAATTCATTTATTTATTTTTCATATTTTTTTAACTTTAGCAAAAATATTTTTTCACAAGACATTTACACCTTTCTCGATCAATGAATATACATTAAAAAAAAAAAAAAATTACGTCCGGTACTATATACTATGACCATTCATTGAGCTAATACTTTTTCCTCTCGTTGAAGTGAAGAGAGCTGATGCTTCACTTTAACTTTATTCTTCTGGATTTCTTTTAGGTTTTATAATCCAGGTAATTTCATATTTTTTTTCCTTTTACAAAATTTCATTTTTGATTTACTATATTTAACTATATTTAACGTTACAATGTAGGTTTTTTATAACTATTTTCAATAATATTAATAAATTAAATTCATAGTTTTAAATTCTCAGTTTATCTAATTTAATTACTTAGAAAATTTTAGGCTTAGTTACTAAAGAGATCAAACTTTTCTTTTCATTTCTGAACTTTTGTTTGCTCTAATAGTTTTCATTTCACACATTAAGTTGCTCTAATGTTACAGATTTTTAAGAACTAACTCCTCTTTTTAATTAATTAATTTTTTTTTTAAATCAAATTTTCATTTATTTTTTCCATGTGTTGGATTGCTCTTATTTTACTTTTTTTTTTTTTTTTTGACGGTCTGCCTAAATTTATTATAAATAGTAAATATCTACCTTTTAATTGTTATTTGATTTTGATACTATAATTTCTTTTGAAAAAAGTATTTAACCCAGCCTATGGGGTTTAAAAATTTAGATATGTTGGATTGGTTGTATTTGCAGGTTTTCTTTTTTGGACTCAATCTGCTATAAATTATATTTTAATGTTTTTTTTTAATTTGCTAACATTTTTTTATAGTCATATACATATGACAACAAATCATATACATAATTTTTAATGATAAACTTGTTTTCTTTTACAGTCATAGCTGCCAGTAAAACTCCCTCTTTTGCCAGCTCAATAAGTGGGGACAGGCAAGTATTACAAACAACTAGCAACTGTGCAAGTCCATCTGTAGTAGATGGTCTAAGCAGTGTGGCAATGGCAAGGTCAGTTTCATGCACAGCAGAACTTGCAGAAAAAGAAGATGAAGAAACAGAAACATCTAAAACAACATCCACAAAGCAAGCTGTGTAATACAAGTCCAGGAATTTTTTCCTTTCATTTCTAATGATCGTAGTGCACTATATGTCCAAAACTAAAAATTTAAGAAATGGTTCAAATATTTGAAATATAATTTGTATCACTATGCTAGCAAACAATATAACAGAGTAAGAATGATGGTTATTTGAATGAATACACTTTAAAGTGAGGGCGAAGATGGTAACTGTTCAATAGGAAATGTTACCACTACATGTAATTTTTTTACAGCTAATGCATCCTATTATTATAATTATTATAATTTTCTTCCCATGGCAAAATTTTAATAATGCATTTGTAAATTATTTTAGAACTTCAAAGGAAAGAATTTTTAATCTGAAAAATATCTTTTAACTATGCATTGCAAAACTCAATTATATATCCCATAATTTATTCACATTTAAACAAACATTTTGAAAGTCCTAGTCAGTTTTCTGATAAAAAATAAAACAAAGTTCACTAAAAATAGCTAAGATTTTTTTAATAATGTAAGGCATATATTAACTATTATAATTATAATCAGTTTACAAAACAATCTCTTTACACAAAAAAGATAGCTAATTTTTAAAATATTTATTTTTGAACAATCATGAACTTTGACAATCAGTTTCATGACCAGTTTCTGTTGAAACATTTAGTGTACTTTTCCATAAATGACAATTTGTTGATTCAGTATCAAATTTGATAATGATATATGTTGTACAAATCATGTGAAGACATTTTGTAACTTGTAGTGAATTTCTTGATCTAAAGTCGGAAAGCTTAATATGGTATACTTTTGCTGTTAAATAAATTACTAACACGCTGCTTGAAGAGTATGGTTTAGTAATGGAGTTATTTGTACATCTTTAAAGTTTCAAGATTTTGCTAATTTATTCACTTCAATACCTCTGAAGAAATACATGCAACAGATCAAGTTCCACATTATAAAATAATTTAGTAAATAAAAACTTCTTACAAACAAATTAACTCAATATTACTAACTGAAAGAATTGAATGTGATAATTCAGACTTTTAAGAGACAATACAAATTTCTATATATGTATTGTGATAAATTTTAAATGTATCCTTAAATTAAATATTATAAATATGAAGCAACAAAATAATTTTTTTATTAGATTTTATATTTGACTACTGCAAAGTCAGAAGGTGTATCATCATAGATAAGACAGAATCTCATTATTTATTTAACTTGGCATGTATTTCTTGCAAATTATGAATGAAAAAGTATAATAAAACCTTTTATGCAGAAATGTAATAGATCAGAACATTTTTAGTGTAATATTAAGTTACAGCACATAACTGTTATATATAGGGAAAAAATTACATAAAGCTTTTATATAACTTACCATAAAAAAGCTTGTTATTCAGATATACTCAACTTGAATCCATGTGCTCTATAACAGAAGTTGTTTTAATATCTATATTTTGGTTCTGTGACTCATTTCTCCTTGTTTCAATATGTTGTTCGTCATCTTTATAACTATTTTCTTTTGCTTCAGGTATCTCTTTATCTCTATTTTCCTCTGAATAAGCATCATCAGAAGAGTCATCTTGTGAACTGCTCTCATCAGACTTTGTTTTATTAATAAGCACAGAAGATGATCCTAACATGTTGTAATTACACAATTTTAATACAAAATGAAATAATATCTGAAACTGTTATGAAAACAATAAATTAAAAAATTAAGAATCATTACACATTCCACAATCAAAAGTTACGAAGTCTTTATTTTACATCTATTACCCACTTTAACATATTATAGAATTTACATTCCTTGCCATTTCTTAATAATTTCCTTAATTGTTGAAAATCAGTAAATTTAAATAAACATAAGCTTATAAATAAAAATTCCACAAATTTTAAATTTTAAAATGTGCCCAGTAAAAATTACCCATAGATGAGAAATGATGGAATTCCTATAAAATTTAGCGAATACACAGTAAATATTCGTATTACAAACAATATCAAAATAAGGAAAAAGAAAAATACTGACTAGATACAAATGTATGCATTTAATGATTTATTTAGGGTGCCTATTTGCTAATATAAAACATTACATATTAAGATGTATGATCACTTTGTGAATTTCCAATACACAAAGTATTATTAAGATTATACAATTCATGAATGCAAGTAGCAAACAAATCTTCAAAAATTCTGAAACATCATTAAGACAAAGTTTTAGTAATGAATCTTCATGTTATAGTACAAATATTTCAACAACCATTCTAAGAGGACTCTGTACGTGGAATAATGTTATCATGGCATGACTTTCCACAGATTGTATGCAGTTTCTTAATGTTTTATGAATGTTAAACAAATTCATCAATTTACAAGATTTTCTCATTATTTTCCAATTGTCATTGGGATTGTTCAATTATTTTTCATATTTAAATAACTTTAATACTGCTTTCATTAGAATTTGCATAGAAAAGAAGTTCCCACTCTAAAATCCAAAACAAAACTGAATTATATTGCAAGGTTTTCAGACCAGATTTGACCAGGTCCTGGGAAGGTCTACTAAACTTCTATAATATAAAAGATAACATAATAAGATAATTTTTCTAAACAGTATAGTATAAAGTCATGTTACCCGTTAATACTAGGTAACAGTATCAATGCCAAACTTTGTTTTTTTTTAACTTAGTAAGGAATTACAGCATTATAGATACTGGCTTAAAAAAGAAAATCTGCATCAGTATCAGATAATGGTAGGGATAGTCAACCTGGTCTCTAATGCCCAATAATGGGTTATTTAAGAGTTAATGGTGGGCAGTGGGGGCTTTTGTCCATCCAAGGATGAAAGTCCGTTTTCCCATGCTCATCTCTCTCTTGTTTCCATGTCTTTATGAGGCTTTGCTATTTCTCTTAGATTCTGTGACTTGGATCTTAATAAATTGTGAAACTAGCAGAAATTTTCTGAGAAACGAATTTCTCCTTTTCCTACCACTGATGGTTTCCTAGCTGAAATAGTTTCACTGCAACTGATGTCCTGGCTAGCTACGAGGGACATAATTTTTCGTTTGTTTGTTTCTTATAAATATAAGCGAAGTATAAATAAATGGATAAATTTAACTATATATATTTTTACTAAGCCTCCACAAAATTACCTTGCATTAATGCCTAAATAAGTTATTGCGAAACTGGTACGCGGTAAAGAAATTTTACTATCCTACAAAATGGGTGGTAGATATAAAAAGGTTGATTACCCCTGAGCTGATGTATTAAAACTGCAAAATTCATTTCAAGTAATGGCTTTGGTAACATTTGCAGAATTTGACTAATTTATAAATATATGTGTGAATTTAAAAAGGCATGATATAATACTAATTTATTCATATACTACTAATTTATAAGTTATTAATTCATATCTAGGAAATTTTCTTTCAAAATCTTTGAGTGAAAGCACTTATTCACAAAATTGGTAATATATATTTTAGGCTGCAAAATTTGACAGTCTATCTCACAAACTGCCCTTTTTTCCTACAATAAAATTATTGCCCTAATTACATTAAACAAGAAAGTTTTATAGTTTAATGTATAATTATTTCTCTCTCAATGACAATATTTTTAAGTGTTGTTGACAATCGGACAACTTTTATTATAGTATCATTTTGAATATTGTTTTATCATTATATTTGTGTTCTGCTGAAATAAAACACAATAATAAATTTATTCTAATGTAAATTGAAATTTGTAACATTACAATTTAGACGAATAGTTTAAGAACAGCAATACTACCAAATTAATATAAACAAAATCTGAATATACAATTAAGAGTTTTTATAATATAAATGACAAACATACATATATACTTTTAATTCACATACATGCACATTCTCATCTAACTTCTGTAAATTTTACAACTCATGGTAAATGATCAATTAAAAGAAAAGTGAGTATACCTTTACATTTTTTTTTCTGTCTTACTTTCTTCTTTAACCTAAAATAAAATTTTGCATTAAAATTCTAAAAAAAAAAAAAAAAAAAAAAAAAAAAAAAAACCAAATATAAAATCTTAACGGAAAAATTAAAAGTAATTTAGAAAATTGCATGAAATGTATCGAACACATCCTAAAAGTTAAAAATCTTGATTTCTCATAATTTCCAATTAGTTTAAATCAAATCATATTAATAAGATGTAACAAGAATTTAGTTAAGAATACATGATCTAGCTTATAAACTGTTTATTCGTTCAAGCTGTCAAGCGAAAATATGATATTACACCTTTTTGTGAATAATCTGATTTAATTATTGGCAATTATACTAGTGTTAATTTACATATCACATAGAAACTTACAGTTCTTTATACAGTCAAAAGTCGTTAATCCAGACTCGTCGGGACTTTGGCGATTCCGGATTATCGATTTTTCCGGATTATAGATCATCAGTTTAAATCGCGTAAGATGGCATGCAGAAATTCTAAAATTAAAAATATGAAACCGTAATTTATGAAACAAAGAACAATTATGATCTAAAGGGTATCAAAATTTACAAAAAAAAGCTTAATATTTACTTGTTTACTTTATTAAACATTTCTTTCAATGTAAGTTGTTTAAGTTGCTTTGTTTTTTATGTGATAATACTTTCTCTTTAATTCTATAAACAGACATAATTTTTGTTCAGTTACAAAGTTTCGCTGTTCAAGTCCCTATAATTGCTGTGTCCGAGAATACCGACTAATTTGTCAATCGAAATTTTTTCGTTTTCACTAACCTCTGTCTTCACATTCTTTCATGTCTTTTATCCATTTTTTGCATCAATTCCACTTTTTGTTTGATGGACATCGAAACATACTTTCGTTTTGTACGATCCTTTGGGAGCTACAGAATCGGAAATTCTATTTGACATAATCGAAAGTTCAAGTTTACTTTTATAGTATTGCTCTTACAGTCTGCAAAAAATAATAAACCGGATCCAATTCGAAAATTAAGGAACAACACAATCATCAACATTAACTGAAATAGATAATTAGATAATTTTAGCTTATACCGTCTGTTATACATAAAACGCGCACACGCAAATGCGCAGTCGTAAGAAGTCTTACGCGCACGTGTAAACGCCTATGCGCATGTGTCAACGCGGCGCATGCGCAGAAAGTTTTTAGCTTTGAAGTCCGGATTATAGATCATTCCGGATTATGGGTGTCCGAATTAACGACTTTTGACTGTATAACTCTGATATCACTAGCAAGAGAAGTTAACACAATATTTAAAATTATATGGTATATTAATTAAAATGAAAAGTATAATAAAATCAGTTTATATTACATAATAGATATTTTTCATATATATAACAAATCTGAACTTAGTTGATTGAAATTCTTAGATAATCTCACTTGAAAACCCCACTATCAATTCTAATTTTTTTAGAAAAAATTAAATTTTTAAATAATTAGAATCTAGTTACTCATAATTGAAAGAAATATCAAATTTCAATCACTGTGGAATATCTTCCTTTAGAATTTCTGCCTCATTTTTAATCACACCTTGTCTCTTTATCCTAACAACCTATTTGTTACTGATACTAAAAAGTCTGAGATACAGAATTGTCAAGACTTCAGTGATTCTAAATTTCAGAAGTTTGTGAATTTTAGATCAATTTAAACCTAATAAGATGAAAGTAGAAATTATAAACATAAAAATGTGATTTGGTCATTTGTGAAATAATGAAGCATTTATGGCTTTACTGGAATTCAAATTTACGACAAAAAACTCAATGTTAACACTTAATGTGTTTTATTAAACACTTCTTTCAATGTAAACTATTTAAGCAATTTCATTTTCCTGCATTTATATCTTTCTCTTTAATTTTTTAGGGAGATACAATTTCTTATTCAAAGTTCCATTGTTCATGTCCTGTAACTGCCATGTTACAATTAAAATCTTTTAATTTTCACTAACCTTTTTATCACTTTCTTCTCTATTGGTGGTGATATTTTATGGATTTAAAATTGTACTACATATTTTGCAGTCCATCAGCTGATTGATGATTGCAGCATTGCCATCAAAATGAAGCTTCCACTAAGCATTTCTTTACATATTACCTTAATCAGAAAACTCCATACTTCTATTAAAACAATACCATTTGGCACCTTTTCAGTTTAGCATATTTAGTTGATGCCAAGAATCACAAATTTTGTTTGTCTTCTTTCCTGACACAAACACATCATGCATCTAACCACAGTTTTTTCTTTTCTTAACCAAAATTGATTTTAATGATTTGAGATATGCAAAGAGATAAGCAGCTATTTTATTTCTTTAAGTCAGAGGGAAAGACTGCACTGGGGTACCTTGGTATACATACATTTTGAAGCACATTCAGTTTGGAATATGTGTTGTCTGGATGCAAAAACTTTTGTTTGGTGTATGACCCAAGTTCAATGAGTCACAACTGCACACTACCCCAATTTACCTCTTTCGAGACAATCCTACAACTGCCCATGGGCATCAGTACACCTGCTGCTACTATTTAGTAAATAACCCACAACATAACTCTGAATTTTCAAGTGATTTTGAATTTTCATGCAAATTCATTAGCAAAGAGAATCAGTTAAGTTAATGAGAAAAATCACGCAACAAAGAGAATGGTTAGAATCACCATGGAGGTGAAAAAAAAAGATATTTTTGAAAAGTATGAAGATGGCATGTGTATCTGGGACTTGGGCTACAAAAACAAAGACACTATTAAATTGGCTAATGTTGCAAAGGGGGGTCAAATTGATTACCAAAGAGAGACATCAGAGCATACTGAAAAATTGCTTTTGATCTGGCCAGCACAAAATCATTTATGTACACAGTATATATTTATCTACTGCATTTCTATTTTAGGATTAAACAGTGTTATAAAAATAACACAAGTTTTTAATAAGGACACAGGATATATCCAGGATTTTTTTATAAGAACAAATTAATTATTTTCCTTTTTTTTTTTTTTTTTCATTGGAAAAATTCGTTTGGTATAGGTCCAAGGATCTGGAATGGATTAGTGATATATATCAAGGTACCACTGTATTCGAATAACCACTACATGAATTAAAATATGATTTGAAGCTTCGGCTAACTAGAGTTTGCCTTTCACTAACAGACTGATGAATGGAGGAATCATTACTGTAATGGCGGACTTAAATCATTTAGCATTTCTTATTTTTTTTTTTCCTGCACATAAAATTTTTGCTTTTTACTCATGATATTATCCAAAAACATTTAGATTCACACCTATCATCATTATCATGATATACGGTAGCTGGCTATAAATTATAGATTACTAAGATTTTTTAAAATATCTGCAGACCTCCTTCTCAACAGGGCTGTGGGGTTGGAGTCATGGAGTCAGAACCGGAGTTGGGTAGATTTTTTTTGTAAAAGGAGTCGCTAAAAACGTCGACTCCAACTACAGTTTTTGTTAGACAGTTTAAATTTGAAATGAAATTAAAGTGAATTGAAAAAAATTTAATGACAAATCGGGTTAATATTTTTATTTATGGACGGTGTCCGCCGATAACATCGCGGACGAAAATGTCGCGGAGAAAACAACGCAAGGCGAAAACGTCGTGCTACAAAACATCGTGGGAGAAAACATCGCAGTTCTAAAACCTCGGTCAAAACATCGTCGTCGAAAATAAAGCGTTAAAAACTTCGCAGTTTAAAAACATCGTCGTCGAAAAATCGTGTAAAAAAAATATCTACAAATCATCGCCTGACGATAATATCGCAACATGCTTTTTTCAGATTTTAAATTATAATGGATATTCCCATAATGATTTGTGAGCAAAGTGTAAGAAGATATTTTTACTTTCACATTTTTTAATTAACTAATAATTTTTGCTGAAAAAGTAAGAAGGAAACTTAAGCATAGAAAATTAAATGCAACTTATAGATTATACTTTTCATGAAATTACCAGTAAAACTTATAAAAATGATTTATTATGGCCTTTGTAGTTAACTATGTCGTTTAAAATTCTTTAAGTGCTATAAGTTGCATTAATTTTCTATGCTTAAGTTTCCTTTTTATTTTCTCACAAAAATGTATTAATTAATAAAAAATATGAAGAAAAATTATCCTTCTTCCATCTTGCGCTCAGAATCATTATGGGAATATCCATTACAGTTATTAAAGCATGTCTGAAAAAAGCATTCTGAGATGTTATTGTCATGCGATGATTTGTAGATACTTTATTTTTTACCATGATATTTTCGACGACGATGTTTTTAAACCGCTTTATTTTCGACGATGATGTTTTAGAACTGTGATGTTTTCTCTTTGCGATGTTTTCTCCCACGATGTTTTGTAGCACGATGTTCTCGCCTTTCGTTGTTTTCTCCGCGACGTTTTCGCCTGCGATGTTTTCGGCTGTAACCTTATGGACTATATATATTAAAAAATAGTTATTTTCTATTTTATTGACAAATTAATAAATAAATATAAGGGAGCAGAATGTATGTGATATTTGCCATTATTAATTAAACTGATTTATTTAGTTACAAATCTCATTGGTAATTATAGGTAAGCAGCAATAACAGCAAGAACTCCCAAAATTGATGCCATTTTTAGGAAGTGAGCAGGAAAAGGAGTTATTATTGATCGAGCAACGCAATAAAGAAGTACATATTTGATGATAGGTGGTTGTTAGAATTAAGAACTTTTTCAGAAGCTGTAGATAACCCTAATGTTTCACTAACAGAAAGACTGTGGAATGTTCTTACAGAATTGGAAACTTATCCTTCAACACAGTATATAGCCATAAAAAAGCTAAAATCTGAAGAATTAACAAGAGGTAAGAATGGAAGAATGTGATGTTTTTTGTTCTCAAATGGAGGATTTATTGCAGAAGGAATCATTTCTTCAATGAAGAAATGAGAAACTAGTTTGCTAGACAATAAGAACTTGCTGGGTTCAATATTATACGTAGATCCAAAACACCGAATTTTGGTGGATGACGAACAAATTTAAAAAGGCAGAGAAAGGCACCTGTGAACTTTCATT